GTCCCCTGATCAATTTATAGGATTGGGGTTCTGCTGATTTTAGAACCAAAGTTTTGTTTGGCTTTCTTATAGTGATCAAAACCACAGACGGTTCATCGGCCTCTAAACCTTAAACATGGTCTGATTCTTTTCTTTTCGCCCTTTTGCAGAAACCACACACAACCTGCCCCAGTGACAACAGAGGGAAGGATGGGAGGTGACAGTTCAGGTTTCTTTTGAAGTTCATCCCAAACATAGAATGAAAACATCCAAATCTTACTTCCCACAGCCGGCTGGCCATAGAGGGAGGCTTTACCAGGCAGACTGTGCCTGACAGAGATACCAGCACAGTGGTCAGCCCAGTCTGGAGACTGGCAGGAGAAGGAATGGGGAGTGCAAAAGGGTTGGGGTGATGATAGGTTAAGTCTAATCTTTCCAGAGAAGCAGCTGCAAGAAATGCTTGAGGGAAATGATCTCTTAGGGGGAATGAGTGGTCTGTGTCCCAGGAAAACCAGTGAGGGATGGAGAAGGCTTAGAGAAATAGGGAGGGATGAGCCACTTCAGACATCAGCCTGCAGTACAAGGCAATGATCAAGGTCTGCAAGCTCCTAAAGCTCAAAGGATTTGGTTTAGTCCAGGAGTCAACTGACCAGCTCAGGTCCAGCTCTGGGCTCTCCCCAACGAAGGAGTTGTTGTGATGTGGGTTAATTTAGGCCCATCTGACTCAAGACAAAACTAGAACTTTTCTGAAGTCTGACGGATGTTACCTATTCATGCCTACCTCTAATTTTTGGCCCTCTGGGTGCTTTCCTGGTGTGGGAAGAGATGTGTTGATATATGACACTGTATTGGCTCTCCCATTATACTTTCAACCTGACCAGACCCAGGAAGCAATGAAAAATTTTCAAGAAAATCCGTTCTCAAGGACAGGTGAATCTGAATTTGTCAAAGAGGTTTGGAGAGCTTGGATTAGCTCACCAAAAACAACCCAGGTCCTGGGATTCTCTCATCACCCCGAACCAACCTCCCCACCTGTACAGGCCAGACACCTTGGGTGGGACAGGACTCCCTCATGGTGCTCGTCTTAGCTCTCTTCTGCCTGGGTCTCAGCAGGATGGAGACCGCTCTGTAACTCTCTTCCCCACATGAATGGTCAGATCTGCTTCAGCCTGTAGTTTTCCAACTCCCCAAGGGTCTCCTGTATTTTGTTGCCATCCTGTCCTCCGCCTCCATCAGTTATAGAGCCATCGCCTCTGGAACAAACAAGCCCAGAAAAGGAAAAACCGACCATCTCCCCCTGGCTCTGAGCTCAGAGGCTCAGCACTAAACATCCGCTGGAAATCAGTCTGGAAAAACAATAAACTCCCTTCGAAGGCGTTACTCCACCAGGGAGTTACCCAGCAATCCAGAAACCAAACTGTCATTAGGCGGACACAGGAACAGCTGCGCAGAAAGGAATTCTCCCCAGAAGCCTGCCCGACCTGCACGCAGACAGGAGCCTGCCTAACAAGAGCAGTTCAAAGGGGCTGGACGGAGCAAAAGCTTCAGTTGTAAAAATCCGAGTTGGAGTCTAGGGATCCGGTTCTGCTCTCCGTTCCACCCTGTAAATCTGAAGGAACTAATACTTGGGATCCAACAAAGTCCCTCTGGGTTTGTGGCAGTGTAACTGGGATGAAGCCATCTAGTTCAGTGGTGCTTAACCTTTTGGCTTTGCAGGCTGCATGAGTGACACAGAGCTGGTCTGCAGGCCAGATCAGATCCTGTGCTGCCCCTGTGCCTTGGGATCTAGCCCCACAGCCCTATGCCACCTTTGCATGCCAGGATTTGGCTCTGGGGCCTCACATCACCTCCAACCAGCTCTGCATGTCAGGATTGGGGCCCCATAGGCCAGATTACATGTAACTGGGGGCCAGACTTAGCCTGTGGGCCAGGAGTTGAGCACTCCTGATCTTGTCATGATATTGTTGTGATAATTATGCACTTGTATGGCAATGGCTCTGAAAGGCTGCAGCTGAAATTGAAGTCCTGCCAGGCTAGCCCCATGCAAAACTCATATTTAGAGAGAGTCACGACTTCAAAGAATTTGCAGTCTCAACAGACATGAAAGATATAGGAAGAGAGGCATATCATCCCCGCAACCCACTCCCCCAGCAGATCCCATGTAAGCTTAGCATACCCCCACTCCAAACCCAGTGCATGCCCAGAAGAGGCATCGCATTAGTTTGACCTGGCTCGCCCAATGTCTAGATTGGGAGCTTCAATGGGGCTTTTTGATGCTTTTATTTAAGAGCTGACCAAAACACTCCATTGAAGCTCCTGATCTATACAGACGCTGAAGAGCCAGGTCAAACTAACAAGCTTCCTCTTCCGGTAAAGTGCCATGTTTTGTTTTTTTCACATCTGTCAGCACCCAAAGTGATTTCTTTCAAGCTAATTGGGAAGTCTTTAGAAGAGGTATTGTCACAGCTCCCTCACAGCCCAGCTCTGCAGTACAGTAACCTAAGTCAAGAACACAATTCCTCTAATTTTGCTGCTACTCTAGTATAAATTTCTCAAGTTGTGAGGCTCCTATTGTTTCCCCTTTAAGATGACTGTATAGTCAGATACCTGGCTCCATCCATGCTGAATAGCCATCCTCTGGGTCTACAGAGATCACCCACTGGTACTTGTAGCCAAACACACACACAATCACAGTATACTGCACAGAGGACATATTTCTAAACAATTGTGAATTCCCTGCTTGCACAAAGTGCCAGGTTGCTGTCTCTGGAGCAAGTTATGGTCTATCTACGGAGCAGGAGGGCAAGCTTCCCTCCCTCTACAACGTGACTCAAAAATGGTGCCTGCGCTTTCAGCTTCTAACCATACACAGCCCCAAACTCAGCCGGTCTTGCCAAAAAAGCTTGGGAAGCTCCTAGAGACCCACCCAAATTCCAACCCAGCAAGCTGCGCTCACTATGGAGTCCAATGAAGATCTAAGCAGAGCTGCTGCTTTACAGCGTAACCCCGTGCATAAAAGTGCAACTCCTGCTAAATCAGGTGCATTATCACCCCCACCCCACCCATACACCAGGACTGAACTCAGCCAACACAGCCTTATAAGCAGGACTGAAGGATTCATGCGGAGAGCAGAGCTGCAGCTTCCCATCACTCCATCTTCGTCTCCATCGTGTGCCCTTCATGGATGGAAATGTTCCTTGTTTGGAATCAGGTCAGAGGAATGAAACCTCCCTGCCCATTTTGACAATTCAACAGCAAGTAGCGATTCAGAAGCCAGCCTAATTCTTTTATGCTCGTTTTCCATTTACATCCCAGCTTCATGAACAAGAGCACTCAAAGAAAAAAGTGAATGTTCCATTTGCATATTTATCTCAGGAGAGTTTTAAATCATTTATGTCTGTAAAATGTGCAATTTGCACTGCTTCTGCAAGTCAGGCCCTGTTTGCACACCCAAGTGGCACCAGTTTCACTAAAGCTGTTTAAAATAATTTCCTTTAAAAAGGCATGACTTTGTGTAGAGCTCCAGAGCAATTTGTCTGTTCATTTGTGACACCTTTGGGATGAGCTGCAGACCAAGAGCTGGTTGCTGATGAAATCTGAAAATGATCTGGGATAAATCTGAGAATTTTGTAATTGTCTGTGGGATTTGTAGAAACTCCCACTAATGATGTGCTTCTGCTCCCATAGGTTCAACTCCCATTGATTTCAATGGTGGCAGAGTTAGACCAATGTTAGGCGCTATTGAAAATACCACTCTACATATTTTACTGCGTTGTCTGACTGCATAATTGCATTAGCCACATATGAGATGTCAATCACTCACTCTGTAGTTTATAAGAGTTATAAACTACTGATTCTCTAGGTAAAAGAGTGCACCGTTCTCCCTCTCCCAGACCACAGATGTTCGCCTTCTCCCAGTCTTTCTTTCCTCAGATCCCATGAAATGGGTCCAGTTGAAGACACTAATTCTAGTGTAGGCGGAGGATGGAAGGAGAAGAATTAAGGAATGCAAAGCCTGAGGTAGACTACTAAACTAGTGAGTCAAGGGCATGCCAGATCTATCTAAGATACCATCTTATAGGCTATGAGCCCAATCTTATTCCACACACAGTCAGACAGAGCTTGTTTCTCAATGGTCTCCTCATCTTGCTTTAGAAGCTATGTAGATGTAGCCATTTTGTACTATTACCATCACAACTGAACACATCACAATGCAATTGGCCTCATCATGCCTCTATAAGGAAGGGAAAAAATGGCTTCTGTTTAACAGAAGGCACAGAGAGACAAAGACCTTGATCAAGGTCACACATAGGAAGCTCCTGAACCCAGCTCTCCCATGTTCATTGCTTAGCCACTGAACTATTGTTTCTCTTTGGTATGAGGTTGCAGCTCCTTTCCAGGTATAGCCAAGCAGGCTTTCCATGATCCTGGCCTTAAGAGCTTGCTAGAGCAAAGGGGCTATTCATACCTTCCCTGGCATTGTGCTGGGACAGTAGGACAAAGAGGTTTAACAAAACCCTGCTACCTTTGAACACAAGGTCACTGGCACTGTGCCTCCTCCGAACAAACCGAATCAGCAAACAGATCTCTTGTATTGTCTTCTTCAACAAAGGGTCCATAGGAACAGAGGACTCATCAAGCGAGATTAGCATATACCAGGCATTTGAGAGAAAAATGCAAAATTATGGACTAAACTGCATGTGACCTTAGGTGTATATTTTTATCACATAAACATGGATGTTCTTATGATCTGTAAAAATGTTTTATTTATTGAATCCTACCAAGTTCTTCATCTCAGTGAAATCGTATGTAAAATCCACAGGCTAAGTACTTGGTACATAGCATACACTTAGTGTATAGCAATATGGTATTTGATCAGCTTTAAATTACCCTTCTCACTTGCTCAACTTTATTCTCTTCTCCGTTTTCTCTCTCTTTCTTCACTTCTTCCCCTTCTCCTCTGCTTCTGCCTATCCCACCCACAAGGTTACACCAACGGAGCACACAAGGGCAGCACTTACTTTCCCTGAGGTAACTGAGGTGCGACAACAGGACTTCTGTGTTGTACTGGGAGGTTGTTCGGAGGAAATCCTCCTTGTTCATTTTGCACAGTTCCTTGCCGTCCATGTTCTGGAAGAGGGATGTGTCTATCTCCAGTAATCCATACTCCTTAATAGCCCATTCTAGCCACTGGCGCACGTGTTCCTGGGTCCACAAGGTGGGATCTAGCAGAAAAAACACAGAATAGATAATATCAAACACAAAAGGATGCATTTCCACCTGGGAGAAATTTTACACTCTTTGCACTCTCCTATGCATGTGCGCCTGAAAGGGCGTGTGTGCCTGAAAGCTTGCAAATAAAGAATTTTTTTTGCAAGTATCTAGTTGGTCTAATAAAAGATATCACCGCCCCAAGAGCTCCGATTACTTTTCCTTGCAGACCAACACGGCTACAACCTGTACCCCTTCTGCTTCTTACAGCATTTTCACATTATCAGTCACTCAATCAGTCCATTAATAATATCCATTTTTACACGATAAAGCATATTCAGTCTGCAAATTCCCAGAGTACTTTGTAAAGATGTGCAATTATTAGCTTCATTTATACAGGTAGGGAAAATGAGACGCAGATGTTGACATAGGGATTTAAAGGCAGAGTCAGGAACAGAATCCAGTTCAACTGATAGCTTGGCTGACCCCTTAGCCCCTCAGCTACCCTTAGTAATACCTGAGTTATGACTTTTTACTTCTTTAAAAAGGCTTCCAAGAAGTGAAACCAGCCTCAGAAGAGATGTACAAGCCACCCCGTCTGGTCCCTCTACACTGCACTGTCCTATCAGGGCTCCTGAAGCCAGCCAGCCTGTCCCAAGAGCATTGAAAACTCCCAGCAACCGGCATTTTCAGCTTTTGAGAAGTGTGATATTTATGGTCAGTGAAAGATCTCTGAAAAAATTACTGGATCTGTTGGCTAGATATCTCTGAGTCATATTTGCCGACTCTGCTGACAAGAGCAGGTTTTTACCCCTATTAGCACTGTTAAAATCAATGTGGCTACAGAGGGGACAGGGGGAAGTCCTACATCGTTATCAATTGTCAGCAAAGTTCCAGGTGCCGAATCTTGACTGCCGCTGATGGTGTAAGACGTAGGGTGAACCTGGCTGGAGTCTCAGACCCCCCAATAACAGTTTGCTGCAGCAGTAGTTAAAAAAAAAAGATACCATCCTCTGACTTTTAAGATGAATGTGTGGGATCAGAAAGTCCCAGTGAAAATTAAATGTGCCAAGCTGTGATATTAGTTTTACAGAGTCATTTTCAGAGCGTATCTACACTTTCAGATGTTTCCTGTTCTATTTTTCTCAAGTCTCCTGTCTAACAATTAAGCCACAAACTAGGTTGTCTTGTAAGATTACTGGTGTTTGGAGATGTGTATGAACCAAGAGTCCACGACTCTAAGGTCCACGTGCCTGAACTTTGGGGAAGTTTGGAACAGGACTTAGCCTTCAGATCAGGCTCCTCCCTTTAGGATAGATCCTAGTATTCAGATACACCAGGGCTTTTGAGCAGTCAGGCTCTAGATCAGAGCTCTCCTCCATGGCCATCTTCAGCAGAGGAATTCTACTTTTCATGGGATTCAAAATCCCTCAAGTATCAACGTTTCCTGCCACTTCAATTTCTTGTCCACACAGGAGGAGGATGTTCAAAGGTGTAGGGTAAAAAATCATTGCCCAGAATGAGGGACATAGATAAGGGATACTTGGCAGAGTTTAGTAGGGGAGTTGGCTGCCATCCCTCTGCTACCCAAGGATCTCTTTATACAGAAGGTGTAATCCAATAGATACATCTGCTCCATGGCTCCTGTGTATCAATGGAACAGTGTGAAATAGCACAAGAAAATCACAGCAGGGAATGCTAGCAAGTGATAGTGAGATTTTCCTATCTAGTTGTTACTAATACCCACACTGTTTAAAACTGAACTTCAAACCTAGAGCTTCTTCTCTGTGTAGTATTAACTTTCAGCACAATTAAAATGCCCTGAGAAGTTGTACTTTTTTTTAATATCTGCGTTCTGGTCATGTTCACGGTCAACTTCTCATGCACTGATGCAAATCTGGTGTATTCGGGCACAAAATCAAAAGAGAATGTCAACTGATGACTTTTAAAAAAATGATGATCAGTTATTTTTCCTCAGTTCTGAAAAAAAAAACCCTGTATTTAGGGCCCAGGATAAACTTGATGTCTTAAATCAAAAGTTTCTGAAAATCAGGCAGGTTTATTCAGAGGCCAGGGAGCAGAAGCTAAAGAATTCAGTTGCTTCCCGTTTCACCCACCCTGGCCTATTTGTCCCCATCAAGCTTCAGTATCAAGTAGTAGCAGAAAACTGACTTCATGGCACATGACTCCAAGTTTACTATCATTACTGCTTTACACCTTACGTGATATTACTGTTGCCTGTCTCCACTCCAGTGTGCTATAAATCTTTACTCTGTGTTGGGTTAAGATACTACCAAGGTACTTCTTGGATGAATTAAGCTACATCTTTTCCAATCAGAAATCTTGCCTGATTATGAACTAGGCATATAATTTATATCTGTCTTCCAAAGGCCTGCATAAATCACAGCCATTTCACAGGTGTCTTATAGTTTTGATTTGTGGATGTTCACAAGTGGAACATCTCCACTTTCACTTTCTGGCCAAAGGAGGAGACATGAAACTACCTCTTCCTCAAAAAGTTATGGAAATTTTCCTCCCATTTTCACCTTCGCTAAAGCTCTTACCCACAGTTTTTGGGGGTTTTATTTTTTTGGGGGGGTGGGAGAGGCTAGGGGAGAGGGAATGGCATAATACCCAGATAGCTGGCTAACAGCCATTATAATGTACCCTACTTAACTACTTTTCAGTGGCCTTCTCTGCATCAGATCACTCCTGTCTGCTCTGTACCACTGCTGAAAACATGCGCCCTCCTGTTACTCCGATTGGATCATTTTCCCCCCTAAGGGTGAAGTCCCATGCAGAGGTCTTAAAAGAAACCTTAAGCCCAGGGCTGAATTTCATCTTCTGTCTTGTTTTGGCTTCCTCTCATTCAGTTCAAGCTTTATGTCCTCAGTCTAAATGGCAAACAAATGCTTGGGAATTGTCATCTGGGCAGAGTCAGTTCACGATCAGAAAACAGAGCTGCATTCCACGAGCACATTTCTTTCTGCCATTAGTTCATCCAGCTCGAGTCAGCTGTATCTTTCCACACACAGGGTAAAATTCAGGCCCCTTGGAAATCAGTGGAATTTCTGTCAGTGATTTTAGTGGGGCCAGGAGTTTGCTTCACTGGAAAGTTCCTGTGCAAAGACACTTGCATCCAAGACCTTTATCAACGCTGCAGGGGAAAGACACCCTTCTCCTTCCAAACTTACACAATATGTACCACAAAGATTCCCAGCCCTTGATCCTCGAAGTAGATTTAGTGTGTTCTGCTATATATGGATAGTCACTAGATAAGGGCTAGGAGATAACAGAAAATCTTGCTATGGAATTATTGTGGGATGGAAAATTTAATGTCTGGAAAATTGAGATGTCCTGATTTTCCATTGAGAAAATCAAAACCAGAGTTTACTTTGAGCCTGCCCAGCATTAAAGTGCCTCTGGAAGTGACAGCTTCAGTGTTTCATATGCCCATCTTCTCCTCAGGATCGGGCTCTGTGGCCAGGCTGTCTCTTAGGCTGCATTGTGTTTTCTCCTTTGCATGAGCTGCATGATGCAACCCAGCAGAAGTCCAGGAAAATTTCAATATCTCAATGTTTCATTCCAACTTGGGGTGAAAACGAATATGAAAATCTTGGCATTTCCAACAGTGCAGAAATTCTGATTGTGCAGCTCTGTGCGCCTCCTGCAACTCACCAACAAACAGGTTTTCTACGCACCCATCCCTACCAAATCAATGCTTGAAGGAAATTAAAATACAAATAGTTTGATTCCAATGGTACCTGCTGGGACGATGACTCTCCTCTCATTGGTGGTCATGTTAGGGGGAGGGCCGTTCTTTTCATCCATGTAGGTGCTGTAACTCATCGGGTTGGACTCTGTCCCAGTGCCCACCAGCTTGCTGCATTTGTTAACGCTACAATCTACTGGGGATTCCCTGAAAGATAAAGGAAACATGTTTCATCAAGTTTGTCATTGCTGAGCCTGCATCCCTGCTCTAGGAAAATAGGTGCTGTGCTACAGAAATGGCAGTAGAGGATGGAGTTTAGAAAAAGGAGAAAGATCTATATAGTGTCTCGTACATATACATTGCCAGTCACATAAGATCGTAGGAAATTAGGGCTGGAAGGGATCTCACAAGGTCATCTAGTCCAGCCCCCAGCTCAAGGTAGGATGATACCTGACTAAACCATCCCAACCAAGTGTCTGTCCAAGCTGCTCTTGAAAACGTCCAAGGATGGAGATGCCATGATTTCCCTAGGTCACCTCTTCCAATGCTGCTTGACCACCCTCAAAATCAGGAAGTTCCTCCTAATCTCCAACCTAAATTTCTCCTGCTGCAGCTTGAGGCCCTTGTTCCTAATCCTGTTCCTTAATGCCACATGCAAAAGCCCATGTCTATCCTCTCTGTAACCACCCTTTAGGTTTTTGAAGACTGTTATCAAATCCTGCCTCAGTTCTCTCTTCTCCAGACTAAATAACCCTTGTCCGTTCAGCCTTTCCTTGTGTAGTCTTTCTTCACAGGCCCCTAATTATTTTTGTTGCTCTGTGCTGGACCCTTTCTAAACTGTTCACATCCTTCCTGACAGGTGGAGCCCAAAACTGGATTCCCAAGGTGGACTGCAATTGGTAAGCCTCATGACTAAGTTTGTTAACTATCCAGCTGTTTGAAATACAGATATAAGAAGGGCTGATTTTAAAGAGCATGGAGCCCCTCAAATTCCCACTAAAATCCAGGGCACCTAACAGGGGCTCAGTGCCTCTAAGAAACCCGGGCTCCTATACAGGGAGGCTGGTCCAACACACTGTAATTACAGTGATTACTTGATTAATTGAGTCTGCAGAAGCGTGGTAATTACCACACTCCAGCAGACTCCAGCGTAATGTGTATCAGAGTCCCTGCGCTGAAAAATGGCAGTGGGGCACTTTAAAGTAAAGCTGGTTCGATGAGACCCACTGCCATTTTTCAGTGCGGGGACGCTGATATATGTGATGCTCCAGGGGCTTTTAATTAGTGCTGCTCTTGGAGCCTAGATTGGGAGTTTTTAGGCACAAGGCCTTTTTTCACTCTGTATTAGTCTATCAGCTAATGCAAGGCTCTAATCCTTGATGGGAGTCACTGCCACAAAATAAATAACATGAAGAAATGCAATGCTTTCTCCCCACTTTACCCTGACTAATCAAGTCTGTTGAGAAATGCTAAATGAACTTGCTTAGGTATCTCTGTATGGCACTGCACTGGGTGGTCAACACACTTAAAATGCCCATGCTGCATAGTGACCAATACTTGCGTAGGAAAGTACTGCCTGGTTATTCAGGCCATACTGTGCCAGGTGCTGTATATACGCATCCCTACCAAGTGTGTGTTAATCGTTCTCATCTGTGCTTGCTTGCAGAGAGCTTGCCTTTTTAGCTCCAGCTGTAGTGGCTTATGATCACAGCTCAAGAGGCCCCTGATTCCAACCCTAGCATAGCAGCTGTCACATGCACACAGGGCAGAGCTACACGAGATGTTTACTGTGTAGTAAACTAATTAGCTGCACAGTAAATGTAGCACATCTAGACATGTGTCTCTATTAGGCTGGAGTAAACTAATTTACTCTGCAGCAGCACATGTGTAGATGCTGCCCCAGCTGGCTAGCCCCACACTGGAGCACCCTCATGCCGCAACCATCCTCTCTGCAGCACACTGAGCTGCGGGGAGCAGCCCTGGGCTGGCAGGCTGACCCCCTAGGCCCCCTGCCAGCCAGAGCTACCCCAACCTGGCTCAACATGTTGCACTCCTGGGCACACATATAACTGTGCACCTGGGAGCAATAAATTCTGGTGCAATAAGCACCAGAGTCTATTGCACCGCATTAATATGCACGTGTAGACGTGCCCACAGGCAGTCGAAGGAATATCCTGTACTGAAGAATTTACAATGTAGAGAGAGATGAAAGAGCATCACTACCCTTGTTTTGCAGGAAGGGAACTGAGGCACGGAGAGAGAATAAGCAGTCTGCCACGCGTATGGTTGAAGGGGGTATGGAATCTATATTACTGACACCCTCGTTCATTTACTACCAAACAGTCTTTCCTCCTTGCCAAAAATGCAAGACATAGCTTGGGTGGAAGCCACTCTTTAATGGGGAAAGAACATGACAGTGCATTGAATCCCACCCTGTGAGCAAAGCTGAAGGATTTTCCAATTTGCAACATGAAATAAATTTGTTTCTTAATCTGAAGTGGGGGGAGGGGGCAGGAATTACCAAAATGTAGTTATCATGGCTGAGAGATAAATGCCCCGCTGAGATATTCTAAGGCAGATGGTAATTTTTTCCTCATGTC